CAGATGAGGCAACATTTACTCGAAGGGGAATTTTGAACCAAAGGAACAACCATATTTGGTCCTACGAGAATCCACGGGCGGTAAGGGAATATAGTTTTCAGCATGAATTCCAATGTAACGTATGGTTGGGTGTGTTGGACAACACAATAGTTGGTCCCTACTTCCTTCCGCATCGGTTAAATGCTGACATGTTTACCGAGTTCCTTGAAAATGGTTTTCAAGATCTGTTAGAAGATATTCCGCTTAATACGCGAATGAACAGTTGATTTCAACTAGATGGTTGTCCTGCCCATTTTGGTAGAGGTCCTAGGGAGAGGTTAAACAATAATTATCCCAGGAGATAGATTGGTCGTGAAGGACTTGCAGCATGGCCCGCACGTTCACCGGCCTTTACACCGATAGATTATTTCGTTTGGGGTGCTGTTAAACAAAAGGTCTACCAAATAGTGCAAGCGTGTCGAGAATTAACTCCAATTCAGTGTCGATCGGCAACTACCTTCATAATTAGAAGATGTACTTGTCTACAGTCCGGAGGCGCCCATTTTGAACAAAATATTTTTTAAATCATTTCATTTTTGATTCATTTTTCGCTTTGTCTAGGTATAATATTAATTGGTAATTTTTTGGTTGTTTCAATTTACAAATAAATTTCCATGTGTTATTTTATTTAAAAGTACACAACACAAGTAAATGAAGTGACTACAAACCGCTTGAAAAATTTTAAGATTATTGCAAGGGTCGTTACGTTGTCGCATTACGACATAGTCACATTAGATGTTAGGTAGGATAGGGCGGGGCTAGTGAGCATAGGGGCAAGTTGGGCAATCGAAATATCTCGCAAACTATTCACCGCGTGATCGCTAGTGGAGGCTCGACGAGCGACTGAAGCGCCCGTGCGTTTTGTTTATTTTGTGACCAAACAGTTAAAAAATCGTTTATCGCAAGTTTTCGTCTGTATTAGTTGAATGTTATCTGTTTTCAATCAGGTAAGTGTTAATCTTCCATAAAATTATTGTACTTTTGATATGTAGAGAGGTTCTGGGTATAATTCTTACGGTTTTCTTATAACCTCACTTTTGTTTTAAAATTTCGGGTTGGGGTTAGTTGAGCTATAGTTGCTCAACTTACCCCACGACTCAAACAACTAAAGTAATGAATGTTTTATTTTTTTTAGGATGCGGACTTACAAGAGGAAGACTACAAGATGTTCTTACACTACTGAAGACTTAAGTAATGCCGCAAAGGCTGTCAACGATGAGGGAAAAAGTGTGAATGCCGCCGCCAAAGAATTCGGTATCAAACGGATGACTTTGACAAGATTTTCGAAAATATTAAATGAAGGTGGTGATTCATCCATGGGCTATGCAACACCGAGGCGAGTATTTTCTCCCACACAGGAGGAGTCTTTGAAAAATTACTTGCTACAAATGGCATCAATCTTCTATGGATATTCTCCAAAAGACGTCCGTCGCCTTGCCTACGAGTGTTCTGCTAAATTTAGCATTGAAATTCCACCCAGCTGGACTGCAAATAAGATGGCCGGAAAAGAATGGCTTACGATGTTTTTAAAACGAAATCCGGAGCTATCCATACGAAAACCAGAACCCACCAGCCTTGGTAGGGCAACATCATTTAATGCGCAGAATGTTAAAGTTTTTTTGAAAAATTAGCGGAAGTAATGGATAGATATGGATTTACTGCGGCAGACATTTGGAATGTAGATGAGACGGGAGTATCCACTGTGCTGAAGCCAAATAAAATTGTAGCTGTCAAAGGTAAGCGCAACGTCGGTGCCATGACTTCTGGAGAACGAGGGACTAACATTACAGTAGTAACTGCTGTGTCTGCTCTTGGAAATGCTGTACCTCCTATGTTTGTATTTCCGAGAAAACAGTTTAAGACACACTTTCTTAATGGTGGTCCCCCTGAATGTATAGGAGCAGGCAATGCCAGTGGATGGGTTACAGACGAAGAATTCTATCAGTTTATGCAACATTTTATAAAACATGTGAAACCGTCCATGGAGCGCCCTGTTTTGTTAGTGTTGGATAATCACTCCTCTCACTTGAACGTGGAGACACTAAATTTGGCCAAAGAGAACGGAGTTGTAATGTTGTCCTTTCCACCGCATTGTAGCCATAAATTACAACCGTTGGATGTGTCAGTCTTTGGTCCGTTCAAAAAGTATTGCGCTGCTGCTCAAGATGCATGGCTACGAAACAACCCGGGAAAAACCCTTACTATTTATGACATACCAAAAATTGTCGCTGATTCGTTGCCGGTTGCTCAGACAAGTATAAATATTGTCAACGGTTTCCGAAAGACAGGCATCTTCCCGTATAATGCAAACATTTTTGGTGAGGATGAGTTTTCACCATCATTTGTAACTGATCGTCCTGAACAAGAAACTATCGAGCCGGAAAAAGATCATCCAGAGCAAGCTGTGATGTCCAGCACTGAACTTAATCCCACTCCTTCTGCCTCCACCAGCCAAGCTGAACCCAAGCCTAGTCCAAGCAAGAAAGAAAACGAGACGATCGACCTAAAACAAGTATTTTCCCCGGAAATTGTGCGACCATACCCAAAGGCTGGCCCTAGAAAAGCAGCTAAAACTAACAGAAGAAAGAGGAAAACTGCAATACTAACAGACACTCCCGAAAAGAACGCTTTAGAAGAGCAGCAAAATAAAACCACAAAAAAAGTTAAGAAGCCAAAGAAGAACATGGATAAGAAAAGAAAGAAGAGTGTCTGTAAAAAAATACTCCAGTCAAGTGATGAAAGTGGTGATGATGATTATTCCTGTCTGATTTGTTGCGAAGGCTATTCTGAAAGCTTACCAGGAGAAAGTTGGATCCAGTGTCAAGCTTGCAGGGAATGGGCACATAAAAAATGTGTTCCAGGTGCTGGTGTTACTTTCGTTTGTGTCAATTGCAACAGTGACAACGACGATTAAGTTGCTAAGATCTTATTAATATTTTCTTTTAAGATATTTAAGTCTGATTTTAAACAGAAAGACTGAATCTAACCTGAAGTTAGTCTTAAGATACGTTGATGTTTTGTTTATTCTATTTTCAGTTATATTTATTTGTTATTTATTTAATGAAAATTACTTTAAGTTTTGTTATTCTGTCACTAAAAGACTAAATAAAGAGCTGATTGTCAAACAGATATTTTATTTCATCTCTAGTTAGCATTGAACCCTTGGTATGGCTAGACATTCTTAGTGCTCAACTTGCCTCATACCCCTGCTCAACTTACCTCACCTATGGGGTACGTTGAGCATATTTGACCTTCTGGACATAAACAGCTGTAGCTCTTAAATCTGACTTATTAACAATAAGTTACTGTGGACACTTTTGCTAAGGGATAAATTACTAATCCATCAGGTCGCATAACAACTCATTGAGACTTATCATTGAGGAGCTATATCAAGTGAAAAATTGCTCAACTAGCCCCGCCCTACCATACTTAAATATTTCTATTGTTTTCATCATTTTTTTTTCAAAAAAAAAAACACCCTATATCTCAAAAACGAAGCATCTCCTAAATAATTTTAATACTATTGGTTAAACCCAAGGGAAGGGGAGACAAAAAGGCTTATTTGATTCACACATACTCGGGACTAAGACCATAATTTTAATAGGTACTATATTTTTTTAGGTTTTATGAGGAACGTCTTCCTATAGTTCAAGGGTCGGCAAGTAATTTTAGGTGCGGTCCGGATACTTTTAAAAATTTTTAACGAGGTCCAGAAAAAAATTCATATTTCTTACAAATTCTCATTTAAACTCAAATTTAATCTGCTTACTAACCATTAAGAACTCAAAACACTCACACAATTGTAAAATACTAGAAAAAATGATATGGTTGACACTCAAACGTAAAAAAAACATTTTTTAAATAATTTATTTGAGTAATTTAAACTTTCAAAACATTTTTGGCGGTCCAGTATTTTACCTTCCGCGGTCCGGACCTGGACCGCGGTCCGCCAGTTGCCGACCCTTGTATAGTTTATCGACAGAATCCAGAAGCACCCTTCCGAAAAATCAATTTTGCCATGAAACTATAAGAGTTAGGAGAAAAAGTGAATGTATACTTTTTGTCAATAACACACTGTTCTATCTAAAAAAGCATCGTTTTTTATTTTCAGTAGGGCCGTATTAATTTTTTTTATAATTTAATGAGTCTGAGTCCCTATAACTCCGCCACTGGTTGCTTGCGGGACTTCTACTTCTATGGAAAAATGGTANCTGCTCAACTTACCTCACCTATGGGGTACGTTGAGCATATTTGACCTTCTGGACATAAACAGCTGTAGCTCTTAAATCTGACTTATTAACAATAAGTTACTGTGGACACTTTTGCTAAGGGATAAATTACTAATCCATCAGGTCGCATAACAACTCATTGAGACTTATCATTGAGGAGCTATATCAAGTGAAAAATTGCTCAACTAGCCCCGCCCTACCATACTTAAATATTTCTATTGTTTTCATCATTTTTTTTTCAAAAAAAAAAACACCCTATATCTCAAAAACGAAGCATCTCCTAAATAATTTTAATACTATTGGTTAAACCCAAGGGAAGGGGAGACAAAAAGGCTTATTTGACTCACACATACTCGGGACTAAGACCATAATTTTAATAGGTACTATATTTTTTTAGGTTTTATGAGGAACGTCTTCCTATAGTTCAAGGGTCGGCAAGTAATTTTAGGTGCGGTCCGGATACTTTTAAAAATTTTTAACGAGGTCCAGAAAAAAATTCATATTTCTTACAAATTCTCATTTAAACTCAAATTTAATCTGCTTACTAACCATTAAGAACTCAAAACACTCACACAATTGTAAAATACTAGAAAAAATGATAAGGTTGGCACTCAAACGTAAAAAAACATTTTTTAAATAATTCATTTGAGTAATTTATACTTTCAAAAAATTTTTGGCGGTCCAGTATTTTACCTTCCGCGGTCCGGACCTGGACCGCGGTCCGCCAGTTGCCGACCCTTG